CAGTTTCCGCTACGTTATGTCCTCATTCATCTCAGTTGTGCTGAGGTGCGTGCAAAGGGGTACCGAAATGTCGATGTGAGCCCTGGATGTTAACAATGTTCGTTATCTATTTATTTTACATTCGCTAACATTGTGAAAATTTTACTTTCTTCTGTTCTGCTGGGTATAAGATTAAAGACGAAATTATGCAAGCACTCAGCTAGTCATTCCTCACTATAAATCAACCCGGCGCAAATTTCCATGTTACGATTTAAAAATTAAAATGGCAAGCATCTGTTTTCTGTAATTTATCGTCAGGCCGACCCATTGATCTGGGGAATCAAATCCTCAATTATTCTTCCTTGCAAATTCTCCACTCTTACTGGTCGGGAGTAAAGACCGACTGCCGCTGTAAGGCACATCGGTGTAGCTTTTGTGGAGCGGAATATATTGACTGGAAAACAATACGTCTAGAGCGCGGGGCACTCGAACACATACCGCCTGGCTAGGGGAAAATCAATTGATTTTCATTTTACTTTTCACACCTTCAATCGATGCAAACCATCAGCTTGACGCGAGAGCAATCTTTTAGGTCATCTATCGGGCACCAGCGCAATACTCTAAAGGTCTACACAAAGGGATGCTAGCAGCAGCCGGGGCAGAGAAGATTCACTTAGCGGACCCAATGCTCTGTTATCAAAAGAAATTGATACATGCCGTCTGTCTTCCTTGCGGACTCCAACTGGTAATCAGGCGCCGCTCCAACCCCCTGATAACAGTCACACCATGTGTTTAACGCACAGACTCGCTCTCACCTCTCATTTACTTCCAATCCCACTGCGTGAGAGCGAAGAGTATAACTAACTATTCCCTCCCCCCTCCCCCTATAAACGCCATACATAACTGGAAATGTTATATCCCCTGGTTAATGTATCGGCCTGGCGATAAATGACTGAAATCATATGCTTAGCAATCTAACTTTTTAATCTGACGCACTTTCAGATATCACTGCAACATAAATGTCATGAACCGGACGATTGCTACTTGGTGGTGTTTGGAGCATTAGTCTGCCTGCAGAAACCACTTTTCACCAATGTCTTTTTGTCACACCTCAGTCCTATTAAATCCAATCCCTTCGGTTCAACGCGTTAGATGGCATTTCACACCACATTGGACGTTATATTCACTCGCATAACCGAATCAAACAGATCGCCGGCATATGCAAACGGGAGATCGAGGGAAAAGGGTCGATCCACAATTGTTTCTGTTCTATAAATTGCAAAACGTTGTTTGAAACAAATAGAAGGGAATATGCGTGCCCCAGGTTCTTGTTTTAAAGAAGAGGAAGACGTGATCTCTGGAACTCGAAACTTCCCGCCCATATAGACTTCGTCGTGACATTTGTATACGGTACTTCTGGAACGTATAGGGAGCAAGGCATATACAGCGAATGTGTTATGACGCGGTCTGGTGCCTAGAATTCACGCGAACCGTATCCTCGTCCGACTGTTTTCCCAAATGCCAACACGGAGGAGGAAGAACACAGTCGACGACGAGAAACTGTATTCAAAACCAGCAGGTCATTCTCACTGGAAAGCTGAGCATCCCGCTCAGATTGGCTATTTTCGGTCCAATCCACTCGAAGAAGAGCCGAGCTCATTCTCGTAAACCTCATGGATCAATCAACTCTGACGAGAACTCTGTGACCATAGTCAATGCGCGGAACACTTTCGGGCGCATGCTCATGGCGTGGAAGGGCGTGCGCACGTGCTCTTCTGTGGGACTGACTCATCGTGGTAATGGGAGCATTCCCAACAGGCCCATCCCTATGGAAACTTTGTAGGGCGGCATTGGTTGGATCCGTGCGTGTGAAGTCATCCATGCTGCCAAATGTTTACAATTTGCTTAGGCTACGTCCACCAAAAAACTCTGTGAGGGTTCGTTAAACAGATCGATACTCGCCACAGCAACTCCGAACAAAAAGTTTGCGATGGCCGTTCTATACGTAACTATTTCTTGTGAAACACATATTCAGAGGGTTTACACGCCGATGCCTACGCGTTTGCCGTTGAAGGAAACACCACCGATCATATGGGATGCGCTGCGATATATTAAGGACAGAGTAATGGCGTTAGAGTACATAGCTGCCCACAGCGCTATCCTGCGTGCCCGACGGTCTGGATGGAGATAGTGAGGTGGATGCTTCGAAAGCACTTCTGTCTATCACACGAACCTAACCAAAGTCCTTGCTGCCCACTGGCGTTTTTTTAGTTCCGATCCGGCTAAAAGGACGAATTAACATGCGTTTTGCGTCTCTAACATTAACTGGAAACAATCTAGGGCTAGGAGCAGTCTGATGTCAAGGAATCCCGTGTTTACATGGCATAGCGAAGTGTTAGGACATCTACTTTTCCTGTTTTGTCTTTGACTTTCTGGAACGCATAAAAAAAGTTGGAGGAAACACATGACTTGCCAACTGGGGAATGGTCATGTGCGCGATTAGAGAAAAGGTATTATCGATCAATAGCTTTCTTTTCACCAACCCAGTGGAACACAAGCAATCGTATTTTATTAAAAAATGCTGTCGGAGTCCCGTTCATTAAAATTACCAAAAAGATATGGATGCAAGGTTCCCTCTGCTCAGGTGTCTTCTCAATCCTCTCAGAAAACAAAAACCAACCAATACTTACCTCTGTACCGTAAGTGTTATTTCAAAAAATTATATTTGCTACACCGAATTAAAAGGACATTACCATTACAACACGTTCATGGCATGTAGCCTGGGAGGATGCGCGCGCATCCTTTTCTCTTAGATTTACTCATCTTGGGAATTGGGTTATTCTCAACAGAATACCTCCTTTGCTGTAAACAGGTTTACGCACACGACGCCCTACTCAAAACATCGAACTTTTCTTCCAGAGGCGTGGTACTTCGAAGATCTAGGTAGCCATTTGTGCCTGCCTGCGTGGGACTCTCACTTGCTGTCTCTTA